TCTTTAATCCAATTTTATTTGATTTTTGTATATGGCTAGAGATACAGATCTAGTTTCATTCTTCTGCATATGGATATCCAGTTTTCTCAGACCCATTTATTGAAGAGACTGTCCTTCCCCCGCTATATGTTCTTGGCACTTTTGTAAAAAAAAATGATTTCACTGTAGATGTATGGATTTGTTTCTGGGTTCTCTATTCTATTCCATTGGTCTGTGTGTCTGGTTTTATGCCAGTACCGTGCTGTTTTGGTTACTATAGCTTTGTAATATAATTTGAAGTCAGGTGATGTGATTCCTCCAGTTTTCTTCTTTTTACTCAGGATGGCTTTGGCTATTGTGGGTATTTTATGGTTCCATATAAATTTTAAGATTTTTTTTCTATTTCTGCGAAGAATGTCATTGTTTAGATAATGATTGCATTGAATCTGTAGATTGCTTTGAGTAGTGTGGACATTTTAACAATATTCATTCTTCCAGTTCTTGAACATGGAATATTTTCCCATTTTTTTGTGTCTTCTTCAATTTCTTGCATCAATGTTTTATAGTTTTCATTGTAGAGATCTTTTATTTCCTCAGTTAAGTAAATTCTTAGTGATTTTACTCTGTAGCTATTGTAAATGGGATTACTTTTCAATTTATTTTTCAAATTGTTCCCTGTTGGCATATGGAAATCCTAGTGATTTTTGTGTGTTCATTTTGTCCCCTGCAACTTTACTGAATTTGTTTATCAATTCTAATAGTTTTTCATTGAAGTCTTTAGGTTTTTCTAAATATAAGATCATATCATCTACCAGCAAGGATAATTTGATTTGTTCCTTTCCAGTTCGAATGCCCTTTATTTCTTTCTCTCGTGTGATTGCTGTAGCTAGGACTTCCGGTACTATGTTGAATAACAGTGGCAGTGGGCATCCTTGTCATGTTTCAGACCCTAGAGGAAAGGCTTCTAGTTTTTCCTTATTCAGTATGACACTAGCTATGGGTCTATCATATATGGCTTTTTTTATGTTGAGGTATGTTCCTTCTATATCCAGTTTTGTAATGGTTTTTATCATGAAGTGATGTTGAATTTTTCCAGATGCATTTTTAGCACCACCATCAATTGAAATGTTTATGTGGTTTTTGGCCTTCATTCTGTTGATATGATATATCACACTGAGTTATTTGTATATTTTGAATCATCCTTGTATCCCTGGGATAAATCCTACTTGGCCATGAAGAGATATCTTTTTAATGTGTTATTGAATTCAGTTTGTTGGTGTTTTATTAATGATTCTAAATCAATATTGTTTAGAGATATTTGGCTTGTAGTTTTTTTTAATGTGTGTTTGTTTAGTTTTGGTATCAAGGTAATACTTCTGGCCTCCTATAATGAGTTTGGAAGTATTCCATTCTCTATTTTCCAGAATCATTTGAGTAGAAGTAGTATTAGTTCTCCTTCAAATGTTTGGTAGAATTCGGCAGTGAAGCCATCAGATCCTGGGCTTTTCTTTACTGGGGAACTTTTTATTATGACTTCAGTCTCATTTGGTCTGTTCAGGATTTTTTCATGATTCAGTTTTGGTACATGGTATGTGTCTATGAATTTATTCATTTCTTCTAGATTTTCCAATTTATGGGCATATAGCTGCTCATAGTAGCCACTAATGAGCCTATGAATTTCTGCAGTATCAGTTGTAATTTCTCCTTTTTCATCTCTGATTTTATTTATTTATTTTATTCATTTATTCTCTCGTATTTTCTTAATTATTCTGGCTAAAGATTTGTCAATTTTGTTTGCCTTTTCAAAAAAACCAACATTTTGTTTCATTGATCTTTTGTACTGTTTTCTCCATTTTGATTTCATTTATCTCTGTTCTGATCTTTACTATTTCTTTTCTTCTACTGATTTTGAGTTTGGTTTGCTCTTGCTTTCCTAGTTCTTTAAGATGAATCATTAGGTTGTTTATTGAAGGTTTTTCTTCTGTTTTGATGTACGCATTTACAGTTATAAACTTCCCTCCTAGAACTGCTTTTGCTGTTTTCCATAGGTTTTGGTATGTGTGTTTCCATTATCATTTGTTTCAAGAAATTTTTCAATTTACTTCTCAATGTCTTCATTGACCCACTGGTCATTCAGGAGTATATTGTTAATTTCCATGTGTTCGTATAGTTTTCAAAATTCCTCTTGTTATTGATTTAAAGTTTTCTTCCATTGTGGTCAGAGAAGATGCATGATGTTATTTCAATGTGTTTTGAGTGTTTTAAGACTTATTTTGTGACGTAACATATGGTCTGTCATTGAGAATGATCTGTGTACTGAGAAGAATATGTATTCTTCAGCACCATAAGATAGGGCAAGAAAGAGAAAAGAAAAAAAATAAAAATTAAAAAAAATGTGTATTCTACAACCATTGGATGAAATGTTCTGTATCTTTTAGGTTTATTTGGTCCATAGTGCAGATTAAGTTTGATGTTTCTTTGACTATTTTCTGTCTAGAAGATCTGTTGAATGCTTAAAGTGGGGTGTTGAAGTCTCCAGCTATTATTTTATTGGAGTTCATCTCTTTCTTTAATAATATTTTCTTTACATATCTGGGTGCTCCAGTTTTGGGTGCACATATATTTATAATCATTATATCGTTTTGCTGAATGGACCCTTTTATCATTATATAATGACCTTCTTTGTCTCTTTGTATAGTTTTTGTCTTTAAATGTATTTTGGCTGATATAAGCCTAGCTACTTTGCTCTTTTTTGGTTTCCATTGACACAAAATATATTTTTCCATCTTTTTATTGGAGAGTTTACTTATATTCAGTGTTGTTATTGATAAGTAAAGATTTATTCCTGCCATTTTGTTATTTGTTTCCTGGTTGTTTTGTGGTCTTCTTTTCCTTCTTTCCTTCCTGTCTTGATTTTAGTCAAGGTGATTTTCTCTGGTGGTATGATTTAATTTCTTGCTTTTTATTTTTTCTGTGCCTGTTGTATGGTTTTTGATTTGAGGTTACCATGAGGTTTGCAAAAACTATCTTATAATTCACTATTTTAAGCTGATAACAACTAAACACTGCTTGCATAAACAAACGAAAAGAAAACTAATAAAAACTCTACACTTTAACTTTGTCCCCCACTTTTTAATTAACTTTTTAATTTTAATTCTTTGTTGTTTCTGTTTATACCTTATTGTACTGTCTATGTCTTGAAAAGTTGTTGTAGTTATTTTTGATTGGTTAATCTTTTAGTCTTTCTACTTAACAGTAGTTTACATACCACAGTTACAGTGTTATAATAGTCTGTATTTTTCCGTGTACTTATTTTTGCTGGTGAGTTTTGTACCTTCAGATGATGTCTTATTGCTCATGAACATTCTTTTCTTTCTGATGGAAGTACTCCCTTTAGCATTTCTTCAAGGACAGGTCTGGTGTTGAAATTCCTCAGTTTTTGTTTATCTGGGAAAGTCTTTATTTCTCCTTCATATTTGAAGGATATTTTCTCCAGATACACTACTCTAGGGTAAAATTTTTTTCCTTCAGCCTTTTAAATATGTCATGCCACTGTCTCTTGGCCTGTAAGGTTTCCACTGAAAAGTCTGCTGCTAGGTGTGTTGGCGCTCCATTGTATATTATTTGTTACTTTTCTGTTGGTGCTTTTAGGCTCCTTCCTTTATTCTTGACCTTTGGGAGTCTGATTATTAAATGCCTTGAGGTGGTCTTCTATGGGTTAAATCTGGTTGGTTTTCTATAACCTTCTTGTACTTGGATATTGATATCTTTCTCTAGGTTTGGGAAGTTCTCTGTTCTTATCCCTTTGAATATATTTACTTCCCCTTTCTCTTTCTCTGCCTCCTCTTTAAGACCTGTAAAACTCTTAAATTTGCCCCTTGGAGGCTATTTTCTAGATCTTATATGTACGCTTCATTCTTTCATTATTCTTTTTTGCTTTTATCTCCTCTGACTGTGTATTTTCAAATAGCCCACTAATTCTTCTGCTTAATCAATTCTCCTATTAAGAGACTCTGATTCAATCTTTAATATGTAAGTTGCATTTTTCTACTCCAGAATTTCTTCTTGATTCTTTTTAATTTCAATCTCTTTGTTAAATTTATCTGATAACATTCTGAATTCCTTCTCTGTGTTATCTTAAATCTCATTGAATTTCCTCAACACAGCTATTTTGCATTGTCTGTCTAAAAAGTTGCATACCTTTCTCCACCAGGATTGATCCCTGGTGCCTCATTTAGTTTGTTTGGTGAGGTCATGTTTTTCTGGATGGTCTTCATGTTTATTGATGTTTGTCAGTATCTGGGCATGGATATTAAAAAGTTAGGTATTTATTGTAGTCTTCACATCATGGGCTTTTTTTTACCTGTCCTTCGTAGGAAGGCTTTCCAGGCATTCAAAAGGACTTGGGTGTTGTGATCTAAGTCATAACTGTATTAGGAGACTGAAGCCTAGTAATTCTGTTATTCTTGGAGACTCATAGACTCACACTGGCTTGGTGGTCTTACATAAGATCCAGAATACTTCTCTGTATTACCTGGCAGACTCTTCTCTTCCCTTACTTTCTCTTAAACAAATGGAGTCAGTCAGTCTCTCTTTCTTCCTCTTTTTCTGTCTTCCTTTCTGTCTGTCTATCTGTCTCTGTGCTGAGCCACCTGGGGCTGAGGTGACACAATCACCCCTGTGGCCACCATCACAAAGACTGCGCTGGGTCAGACCTGAAGCCAGCACAGCCCTGAGTCTCACCCAATGTCCACTATAATCAATACTTGGCTAACACCTATGTTTGCTCAAGGCGCTAGGGCTCTGCTATCAGCAGTTGGTAAAGCCAGCCAGGCTTGTGTTCTTCCCTTCAGGGTGGCAATTTCCTCCAGGCCCTGGACTTGTCTAGAGATGCCATCTGAGACCTAGGGGCTAGAGTTAAAAACCTTAGCAGTCTACTTGGTATTCTGTTCTGCTGTGGCTTAGCTAGTCCTTGAACCATGAGAAACAGTCCTTCCCACTCTTCCCTCCCCTTTCCACAGGCAGAAGAGCCTCACTCCATGACCACAACCACCAGAAACCCATGGGGAGTACTGCCAAGCTACTGCTGATGTTCACGTAAGGCCCAAGGGCACTTCAGTAAACTTGTGGTGAATTCTGCCAGACTGGGATTCACCCTTCAGGGCAGTGGGCTCCCCTTTGGCTCAGGACAGGTCGAGAAATGCTGTCTAAGAACCAAGTCCCGGACTCAGGACTTGCTTTGTGCAAAGAACCTGCTTTGTGCTCTACCCCACTGTGACCAAGCTAGTACCTAAAGTGCAAGACAAAGTTCCCTTTACTTTTCCCTTTCCTCGAGCAGAAGGAGTTTCTCACCACAGCCATCAGAGTTTCAAATGTGTTGTGTCTCAGCTGAAGTCAGCACCTCTCAGAATCTCACCCAAGACCCACAGCTTACTACCTGGGTATCCCTACTGGTTATTCAGGGCCCAGGGGCTCTTTAGTCATCAGGTGATAGGCTTTGCCTGGACTGGGTCCTTCACTTTACAGCAACAGATTCCCTTCTGGTCCAGGGTGTGTCTACAAATGTCATCCAGGAGCTAGCGCCTGGAATGGAGCCTTACAACCGTGATCAGTTCTCTATCCAACTGTGGCCAAGCTAGTATTTAAGAATCAAAATAAAAATCCTCTTTACTCTTCCCTCTCCTCTCTTCAAGTGGAAGGAAGAGGTCTCTTTTGGAGTTGTGTTGCCTAGAGTTAGGGGAGGGGTGGCACAAGCACTCCCTTAGCTGCCCTAGCTAGTTTCTCAGTAGCTTGCATCACCCCTGAGTCCACTTGCTCCAATCCCAGCTCAGCATTAAGACTTGCAGTCCCTGTGGTCTAGGTTGTCTTTCAAGTTTATTTATGGCCCCACGGCACTTCAGCCCACAGTAACGAAGCTGGCTCGAACTCAAGTTCCCACCACTGGGATGGGCGATTCTCCTCTGGCTAGGGTTGATCTGCATGCTCCCTCCTTGTGTGGGCATCACCTGAGTTCCACTTGGTTTTGCTTTCCACTGTAACAGGGAAGCACTGAGTTTAATGTGAAGTCTCATAATTACTGCACTCTCCTCCTCTCAAGCACACAGATTTCTCTGAGCTATGCAGCTGCTGTAGGGGAATGGGAGAGGGGTGGCATTGGTAATTCAAGACTGTTTCCTATTTCCTATTCTTTTCAGAGATATTAAGTTAAAATCAGATACCATGAGAGTCCTTACTTGATGTTTGGTTCTTTTTTTGTTTGTTTGTTTGAGACAGGGTCTCACTCTGTCACGCAGGCTGTAGTGTAGTAGTGCAATCTCAGCTCACTGCAACCTCCACCTCCTGGGCTTAAGCAATCCTCCCAGCTCAGCCTCCTCAGTAGCTGGGGCTACAGGTATGTGCCACCTTGCCCAGCTAATTTTTGTATTTTTAGTGGACATGGGGTTTCGCCATGTTGCCCAGGGTGGTCTTGAATTCCCTGGCCCGAGCAATTCTCCTGCCTCATCCTTCAAAAGTGCTAGGATTATGGGCATAAGCCACTGTGCCCAGCTAATTTTTGTTTCTTATGAAGATGCTTTTTTGTGTGTAGATAGTTGTCAAATTTGGTTTTCCTGTCAGGGGCACAGTGGGTAGGGTATTGTATCCCACCATCTTCCTTCAACCCTCCAAATCAATGTAACTCCCATTTTTAAAAAGTAAGTAAAGGTGAAAAAAGTAAGTAAAGTGGGCAAGTGTAATTATTTAACTACCAAAATGTGAGGCTATGCTTTAAATATTGGTCTTCAAATTCTGAATCTATTATTTATTCCACCTCATGACAGATACATCAAAGAAAATGCCAGATGGTCCTCTTTGACAGTCTTGTGTCTTGTATAACTTATTTTTACCATGTGGAAGCAACAATATCTCTTTCACTAATGTCATCCTTTAGAGAACAACAGCCTTCAAACATGGGAGCAGTGTGAGAAATAATCTCAAGCATTAAATGGATCGTGGCAAATAAGTGGAGCGTCATCAAATTAGTGTTCTGTATATGTTGTATAGTTTAATCATATAGTGAAAATATGTCAAAAAGAAGAAATAAAAAGCTTTATGGACTTTATTACCACCTGATAATTAGGGTTGATCAGGATATTTCCTGTTCTAGAGGGACTTGAAATCATACACTGTTCTGTGGTGAAGGGTGAAGTAATTGAAGCATCTTGAATATGAGACTCACATACTATTCTAGACAAGGAAATTCTCCATTGCTTGTTACTTATCTGTAATTTGATTTTAACTTTAAAAAACTCACTGATACTTAAAATTTTCATCTTTTTCATGATGTAAAAATCATATATTTAACTTCACAGTTATTCAGATGTTAATAATTTTATAATTATCTCATTCAGCTAGTGGTTTACTACCTGTCAATATCTGTATCAAAAGAAAAGAAAACAAAATAATATGAAAATTAGATTTAGTCATTTTGCCATTTATTGGCAACTCAGGTGAAAAGCTTTGATGATATAGAAGTTTAAAGCTGTGGTTTAAACTTAATGTATTAGTTCATTCTCATGCTGCTATGATTAAATACCCAAGACTAGGTAATTATAAAGAAAAGAGGTTTAAGTGACTCACAGTTCAGCATGATTCAGGAGGCCTCAGGAAACTTACAATCATGGCAGAAGGCACCTCTTCACAGGGCAGCAGGAGAGAGAATGAGTGCAAGAAGGAGAAATGCCAGATGCTTATAAAACCATCAGATCTCATGAGACTCGCTCACTATCATGAGAGCAGCATGGGGGAAACTGCCCCCATGATCCAGTTATCCTCCACCTGGTCCTGTCCTTGACACATGAGGATTATGGGAATTACAATTCAGCGTGAGATTTGGGTGGGGACAAAGAGCCAAACCATACCATTTTGTGCCTGGTCCCTCCCAAATCTCATGTCCTCACATGTCAAAACAGAATCGTGCCCTTCCAACAGTCCCCCAGAGTCTTAACTCATTCTAGCATTAACCCAAAAGTCCAATTCCAAAGTCTCATCTGAGACAAGGCAAGTCCTTTCCACCTGTGAGCCTGTAAAATCAAAAGCAAGTCATTTACTTCCTAGATACAATGGGGGTACAGGCATTAGGTAAATACACCCATTCCACAGGGGAGAAATTGGCCAAAACAAAGGGGCTACAGGCCCCATGTAAGTCTGAAATCTAATAGAGCAGTCATTGAACCTTAAAGTTCCAAAATGATCTCCTTTGACTCCATGTCTCACATCCAGGTCATGCTGATGCAAGAGGTAAGCTCCCATGCTTTGGGCAGCTCTGCCCCTGTGACTTTGCAGGGTGCAGCCCCGCTCCTGGCTGCTTTCACAGACTGGTGTTGAGTGTCTGTGCAGGTGCACAGTGCAAACTGTCAGTGGAGCTACCATTCTGTGGTCTGGTTGACGGTGGCCCTCTTCTCACAGCTCCACTAGGTAGTGCCCCAGTGGGTACTCTGTGTGGGGGCTCAGACCCCACATTTCTGCTCCTCACTACCCTAGCAGAGGTTCTCCCTGAGGGCTTTACCCCTGTAGCAACCTCTGCCTGGACATCCAGGCATTTCCATACATCTTCTGAAATCTAGGTGGAGCTTCTCAAACTTCAATTCTTGACAACTGTGCACTCACAGGGCCAATACCACATGTAAGCCACCAGGGCTCGGGGCTTGCACCCTTTGAAGCCATGACCTGAGCTGTACGTTGGCCCATTTTAGCCATGGCTGGAGCTGGATAGGCAGTGGCCACAAAACCATTTTTTCCTCCTAGTGCTCTGGGCCTGTGATGGGAGGGGCTGCCTTGAAGGTCTCTGACATGGCCTGGAGACATTTTTCCCATTGTCTTGGTGATTAACATTCTGCTCCTTGTTTCTTATGCAAATTTCTGCAGACATCTTGCATTTTTTTCCCCCAGAAAATGGGTTTTTGTTTTCCATCACATTGTCAGGCTGCAAATTTTCTCATCTTTTATGCTCTGCTTCCCCTTTAAATACAAGTTCCAATTTCAGATCGTCTCTCTCAAGGTTAAAGTTCCACAGATCTCTAGGGCAGGGGCAAAATACCTCCAGTCTCTTTACTAAAACATAGCAAGAGTGACCTTTCTATTCCAGTTCCCAATAAGCTTCTCATCTCCATCTGAGACCACCTCAGCCTGGACTTCATTCTTCATGTCACTATCAGCATGTTGGTCAAAACCATTCAATAATCTCTAAGAAGTTCTAAACTTTCCCACATCTTCCTGTCTTCCTCTGAGCCCTCCAAACTGTTCCAACCTCTGCCTGTTTCCCAGTTCCAAAGTCACTTCCACATTTTGGGTATATTTATAGCAGTACCCCACTCTACTGGTACCAGTTTACTATATTAGTCCTTTCTTGCTGCTATAAAGAACTCCCTGAGACTAGGCAGTTTATAAAGAGATTTAATTAACTCACAGTTCTGTATGGCTGGGAACGCCTCAGGAAACTTACAATCATGGCAGAAGGTACCTCTTCACAGGGCAGCAGGAGAGAGAATGAGTGCCAACAGAGGAAATGCCAGATGCTTATAAAACTATCAGATCTCATGAGAATTCACTCACTATCATGAGAGCAGTATGAGGGAAACTGCCCCCATGATCCGATTACCTCCACCTAGTCCTGCCCCTGATGCATGGGGATTCTGGGGATTACAATTCAAAGTGAGATTTGGATGGGGATGCAGAGCCAAACCGTATCACTTAAGAACTTAAAAAATAATAATATAATAACTTATAGGGACGCCTAGAAATAGATAAACAGAGGCCTGGGAATTCTACAGGTAAGTAACAACAATGGGCTATAGAGAAGAGGAAGTTAAGTTTTTGTCTCTGCACTCTTTTTTTTCTATATACTTTCAAACATTGTACTACATAAATGACCTCATCTGTTATATTCCACTTTCATCTCTGGGTGAATTATAGCCATTTTTTTTTAAAAAGTAATGTTTTCCCCTAATTATAAAAAAAAAAAAAGAAACCTTTTATCATAAAAAAAATTGGAAAATTCAGAAAAATGTGAAGAGAATTAAGATCACTGGGAGTAACCAGTATTGACATTTTAGAGATTTTTTTTTTCCTTTTTTTTTTTTTTTTTTAGAGTCTTGCTCTGTCACCCAGGATAGAATGCAGTGGCACAATCTCAGCTCATTGCAACCTCTGCCTCTTGGGTTCAAGCAATTCTCCTTCCTCAGCCTCCTACGTAGCTGAGATTACAGATGCCACACCCAGCTGATTTTTGTGTTGTTAACAGAGATGGGGTTTCACCATATTGGCCAGGCTCATCTTGAACTCCTGACCTCAAGTGATCCACCGGCCTTGGCCTCCCAAATTGCTGGGATTACAGGTGTAAGCCACCATGCATGACCATTTTAGAGTAATTCTTACTAGTATTTTTAATGTCTGCTTATACACACACACACACAAATATATATATTAATATAAAATTGGGCTCATTGAAGATGCTGCCTGGAGCACAGTACTGGCAATACTCTGCTCTTTCCTTTGTTTCATCTCCCGGCATGAAGACATATACTTTTCCCAAGAGACTATCAATGGGCCTTGGGGACATTATATATGAGGGTCTCAGGGTCCTGTTATTAGCTGCGAGTGGGAAGGGAAGAAGGGTGTGGGTGATTCCACATGTCAAAGGGCTTCTATAGTCATGAAGCAGACAGACCTGAACCAAGATGGGCAGGCACTCCCTAGAATTTTCACTCAGCACTTGTGGTAATCCACGTGTGCATCCCAGGGAACTGAGATGGGAGTGGTGTTGGCACCCTCAGGTCCCTGGATGCGTCCACTATTTTTTCTTTCCTGTGAATGCCTTTGTCCTCAATGTGCAAAGATAATCGGGAGTTGAGTGCTACTCATTATATTTAGGAACTTTGTTCTCAAAGGTAGTGATTACTGTCCTATTTTCCATCTCTCTCCTCGAAACAATTTCTGGGAATTACCTCAGCATTTGGATGTGAAAGATGTTGTCATCTTCATTCCTTTTTGCCCTGCAGGGCATTCTGTGGTCTGGGGAAATAAGCAGGTATTCTTAGTTGAATTTAGTTCTCTAGTCTGAATTGTCTCTTCCTCTGCCTCCTTTCATTTTGGACTCTCCTTTTTGCCATACTCTAGAGAGAACGTGGAGGATGGGGCCAGGCAGAGAGCCTGGAGGTTAACCAGAAATTTAGCCAGATCCACGTTGATGCCAC